ATATTATATACTTAAAGTTATTAAAATAATTTTAAAAATTTTTTGTATGAAATTCGAAATCTAGCGACCAACGAATATAGTGTATTCAATGGATAGTTAAGAATCCAATTCAATCTCTAGAAACATAACATACATGGGATGCAAATGAACTAATTCATGCTAAAGTATGAAACAAATTCTTTGTCTGGAATTTAATTTTCCACTCGTTGCATGCTTTGTCACACGTATATTTTCATACAGTATTCACCTTAAGTCAAAATGCATGCATTTATATAATCGCGTGCGTATCTCGCGTACACAAATGAAAAGTAGACAGAATACAGTAATTTTCACAAAAGGCAGTTTTGAAGAATTATTTAATCATTTCAGTATGTAATAATTACATAACGATCGATTTTCTGATAAAGGTGAATTTATATATATATTTATATTAATCTTGTGATATATTTTTTTCATTATTCCAACAGGATTCATTTTCATTATTGAATAAAATAAATATATTTTATATGATTCATTAAATATTTTAACAAATTAAATTTCATCTTAACATTATTATATTAAGTTAGCATTAATATTTAATTTTCTCTTGGATTAAGATTTAAATTTCTTATATTCTCACAAAATCTCACAGAAGATCGAATTTGAAAGCAACTCTTTCACGAGATAGGGTAACACTAAAAAAACAAACAGCAGGTATATTTATAGGTCGGAACCAAGAAAGAATATACACTTAGTTTAAATATTTGATTTAAAAATAGAGATTTAAGTTGATCGTACATAGTCCGATTTGATAGCATTCATAAATAAAGGTCATCAAGGATAAATGTATCTATCAAAAGATACAAATAAGAATGAAATGAATTTAAAGAAAAAAGAATTAAAAAAAAAAAAGAAAAAACGAATAGAAACTTAGAAAGTCTTTTAGATTAGCATCAAACAAATCGATTAAAAAATAAGTATATTATATATATATATATATATATAAAATACTTTATTCTCACGATTTCTCAAAATTGTGTAATAAACATTCACCGGTATTGTATATCCATAGAACCGCTCCTAAAACATTCGAATGTGAAACCAGTCGGTAATGCGATTACTCGGGATCAACTAGACAGTTACGAGTGCATACTATCGTGATCGTTAAACGGTAAGAATTGAGCCCTTGCCGGATGAGAAGGTTAAGTTTGATGGTCCGCTTTTTGTGCATGTCACTGTACAGATAGAGGACAGAGGGAGGCCGACAAAAGTAATACTTAGATATAGTAATACTTAGATATAGAAATACATCGAAAGGCAAACGCGCGGCGCGGGCGCACTCGTGACATCAGTCGTTCGCGAGTGGTTACGATAGTGTGCGGTGGCGTCGCGACGCCGCGCTGGCGCAGTACCGTCAATCGATTCCACGATTTCGTCTGCCCGTGTAGTGGCGAGGAAACGCGAACAGTGACGAGTTCACACGAACTCGGGCGGAAAGAAGAAAAGGGGGTATGCTGGATTGAGCGCGAGGGTGAACTTCAGAAAGAAAGAGAAGGAAGCAGCGAGGGAAGAAAGAGAGTGACAGAGTGAGAGGACGGAGTGAGGTTAGGGAGACGAAAGAGGGAGAGTCAGAGGAGGTATTGGTGCGCGTGTCTTTTAGCGACAACGCGTACGAGCTGAACGCGTACAGCATCCGAAAGAGGTGACAGATTACGGGGAAGGTTTGTTCGAGCTGAAAAAACATAGCCGTGTAAATTTCGGCTCTCGTGCCTCCCTCGGTTAAAAATATTCACGCACAGCAGTGCAGGATGACGACGTTGCGGATTTAGAAGAAACTAACGTAACTTTCTCGCAAGCTGGACGCCGGGATCGATCGTAATACAGTCTTCTTAACAGCCGGGTGACACTGGCCCGAAGACATGGATTACCGGTCGTCTGTTGGCACCAGGTGCGAGGATGATTCCCTGGAGAACGAGAAAGGAATTGGTGTTGCGGTAAGGGATACAACCTTCTGTACGTGCTTTCGATCGACGATCGTATTTCGTCGTAACCTTTTAGGCTATGACATCGTTCACCATCGCATTTGCGCGATAAATATTTCCACATTCTTTATATAGGACGTTCTTTTTTCCTTCCCTTCACGGATATTGCTCACGGAATCATCAAACTTCACCGTTCAATCGTGATTCTCGATTGTTCATTCTGTGCGAAGTATAGTATCTTTCTTGCCGCAGTGCTTCAAGTGATAAATAATATGACAAGGATTAGTGTCACGTATGACGACACATTGCAAGATTCATGCGCCAAAATAATGTTGATGCGGATTTCTGTTCCTATTATGATTTAATAGAATAATGATCAATTAAGAAGATTTTTATCGCAAATCGCATGATAGAGGGACGATAAAGAAAGTGATTCAAGTTACGTTGAGTGGTAGCCACGTGTGTCGAAATTGATTTAATGAAAAAGCCTTTAATTATGATATCATTTAATCGAATTCAACGCTCAATAATTAATTACGTAAGGAGTTTTTTTTTTTAAATATTTTTATCGGATTTCATTGCTTTTACGTGATTTTTCTTGACATACATAAATGGAATTAATAAGACACATTCGGATATTATTACAATTAGAAATATATCATTTTGTGATTCGTAGAACGTGTATACGAAAAGTATAGAAAAGTTCGTCGATTTAGGGACGGAGTTGCTCTATTTCTGGACTTTGAAACGGGTTACTTCGCATTTTTCAACTTTTAGTTTTGCTTTATTTCTACTGTACCGATGATCATCGATAAATCGCAATGTTACAATATATCAGTACGAGATATCAAATCAGATGATGATATTTTGCGAAACAGTGTATCAAGGTTGATCTTTCTTTTATTCTTTTATCTTTTATATCAAATTCTGAATTTAAAAAGAATTTATCGAATATATATATATATATATATTGTATTTATGGGAGCAAAAAACGTTATATACGTAGAATTAGGTGTGAATGAAAAACGCATATCCAATTTAAAAATGAGGGCAGTAATTAAATCAAGTGCTTTCTTAACGTAAATTATTTTTACGTTGAGAAATTTTGAAACATTTTACGAAGCGAGGAATTTTATTTTGTGAAAATATATCAGCAAGAATTTTATCGCTCAAAATTTATGTTATTTTAAAAATTTAATTTATAAATATACTTATTTATCGTTTATATCGTGCAACGATATTAAATCTATAATCTCTAAAATTTGTTAAAAATTATTAGCGAAAAATCTTTATCTACAATTAGAAAAAAACATATTAATACATAAAATTTTACGAATTTTATCGACCAACGTCGACCGATCTTTCGTATTGAAATAACAATTTTAACTATCCATTACATTTATCTGCCCTTCGTAGATTCGTTCTATACTGCTCTTTACGCAACACCCATGTAACATGACAAAATAAATCCAAGTCCGCGACCTTAGACCTTTCATACTTTCGTAATTGCGTTTTTCGCATTTACAGTACAGAGTTATCGATTTCGTTGTTCACTGATTGAACCAAACGCAGCCAATCAATATTTCACAATATTTCTTCCCTCGTCATCTTAATCCCTAATAACAATGAGTAAGAATCTCTCGCGAATTTCTTTTACCGAACGATAAAAATGACTCTCTCCCTGGCCAGAAAGAAAATCCAATAAGTTCGAACAATCGATGTGATCCCGCTGCTATATATATATATACATTATTTTTTTTCTCCCCAAACCTCTACACGCCTACCTGCGGAATAGAAAAATAACAATTATTTTATTTATCGATTCTCGAGTCGAGAAACAGAAGTAAAAAAGTCTCTCCCTTAACCCTTTCGCTACTACACTCGCTCCGCATAAGATACCGCGTATCGTACGATTGGAATTATCGCGCATCGAGTATCTTTCTCTGAAAATATTTCGTTTTTATCGCCAATTTCCCCTCCCCCCCCCCCGCCCATCCCAATAAACACCGTCGCAAAGCAACTCGAATTGTTGCGAGGCGTAACCTCGCTCACGATCTTTCTCGAGCATTGTGCACGTATTTCGATGCGGAGAAGTAATTTTTAGCGTAGCGAAAGTAATTTTTGAGAGAGAGAGAGAGAGAGAGAGAGAGAGAGAGAGAGAGAGAGAGAGAGAGAGAGAGAG